TGAGGCGAAGAAGCTCAGTCATTTTTCTCATGGACGTGGAATTCTTGAGTCAATAGAAGCCTAGAAGGCATTAATGATTTTTGTTAGAGTCCATCTTTTCCACTTCCATGAAAATTTATGAAGTTAAATATGGCCACTACACCTTTTCTTCTCCATTTGTTTCTGTGTTCAACTCAAGATTTAAAACGAAATTAACCATGTAGGATACAATTATTGATTGTCATAATCATAACTTTTTAAGGTGATGTGTCAACTCCTTACGACGAGAAACTCAACTTTTATAGTATAGATATGATAAGATGGCGACACTAGTATAAAGCACAAGATTGTATTCTATTAAATTTATAAAATTGTCAACAATTTTTTTTTTTCTTTGGTCACATTGTCACCATTTTTTTTTTATACTAAAATCAACGATGGAACTTATCGTTTCTTCAACGCAAATAGAAAATTTAAGTTGGACTATGAAACCTATCTTTATTCGTATGATAGATTGTCAGATTTTTTAGATAAATTATGCATAGTACTTAGCAAAACAAATTATGTATAGTTGATTTTAATGATGCGATTTTCTAATTAGTGATCTGTTTTCTCTAATCTTCTAGATGAGATTATTTTATTTTGAGATAGTTTTCTTAACTAGTTTTTTTCTTTTATTATTTGTTCGCTAAAATAGTTTAGATCTACTCTTAAAAACAGATTTGTCGATATCAACTTTTGTAAACTCTCACTTTTAAATTTTAATGTGTGGTTCAGAGTATTAAGTGATATCAGTGTGGTTTAGGGTTGAGTGGTGCTTCCGAAACGAAGCACATAACTCAATGGAGGAACATCTCGATGCCATATCGAATGTTTATTCTTTCTTGTCAGGCAAAGCTTGAGTTGTGATCAAAGCTTTCTTGTGACTGGGGAAAAGGTTTTGATTATGTATACGTATGTTTGAATTCACAGGTTTAATTAATTTTATGCCAAAAAAAAAGAATCACATACGAAGATTCATATTTTTTTCCGAGATTAGTGTATGTTAGCTTCCCATTTTAAGAAGGTTTCTTTCAGCTCTTGATTAGGTAATAAATAAAATTATCGTATGAACTTTTGTATCGTTTACATATTTGATTATTCTATATTTAACAGCATTTCTTAGCAAAAAAGAACACATGGACATGGGTGTGTGTATGTCCAAAGTATGACTTGAAAGCTTTGAAGCCCAATGGGCGTATAGAAATTTCTTATTTGGTCCAAAGTCCAAATCATATGTTTTGGATTG